AAACCTTAAACCCTGAACCCGAAACCCGAAACCCTAAACCCCTAAACCCCTAAACCCCTAAACCCCTAAACCCCTAAACCCCTAAACCCCTAAACCCTAAACCCTAAACCCTAAACCCTAAACCGACCCATGATTTCCTAAAATCCTACCGCACCCAAGACCTGAAGATTTGAAAACCTGCTACAGCACCCAAAAGCCCCAACTCCGAATCCTTGAACCTATTATAGGGGCCTTAGTAATTCGAACACGGTTTGGGCAAATATAATGCTATAGCTACACAAAGGACCCCCCCCCCAGCCCTATACTAATTATTAAGGCCCGTATAATTAAGTCTTGAACCATGGTAACCAGCAAACCCGGATTATTTCATCCCTTAAACCTACTAAGGCCTAAAACTCGCTGAGATATCCTAAACCCTAAACCTTAAACCCTATTGAAGCCCCACAAGTCCGAAACCCTAAACGCACGAAACTCCGAGACCGTCCCCAACTCAAACACCGGAAATCCGGAAAACGGCAAACACTGACAAGCCCTAAACCCTAAACCCTAAACCCTAAACCCTAAACCCTAAAAGGAACCGAAGCGACAGCGGAACAAGAAGGAGGTGGAGGCGAAGTCTCTGGGAGTTGTTGGAGTTTGGTGGGCTCAGGACAAGTTTGGGGCGTCAGGGGCGTGGAGATAGATAAAGAGCCAAAGGTTTCGAGTTTAGATTGTAGGTTTCTCGAGTTTTAGGGTTTTGGGGCTTTCTGGCTGTCGAGCCTCGAGTTTAGAGCAGGGCCAGAGTGAATATTCGGTGCATCGGGTCGAGATGAATGAACGCCACCAAACCGTGGCCAAAAGACCCACACTACCAGTTTTCAAGGCCCTAAACTCTAAACCCTAAACCCTAAACCCTAAGCCCTAAGCCCTAACCCTAAACCCTCAACACAATCCCCTGGTTCCTAGATTCCCAAAACCCGAAAACCCTAAACGAAAGAAGCCCTAAGCCCCTAAACCTTACCGGCTTAAATCCTGAAGCCCTGAACGCCTAAAGCCCCAAACGCTCAAACCGAAACCTTAAGCTTCGGCATGCTTCCGCCCCCATTCCCTCCATTCCCTCCGCGCGAAACAAGGCCTCTCCCAAAGCCGGTTTTAGGGCTTAGGGTCAATACCCAAAAGTAGTTGCAGACCCCTGAACACTAAGCCCTAAACCCGAACAACCTTCAATGATTCAATTTCAGCTCCAATCTCCAATCTTGTCGCAGACCCTTCTGCAGGCCCCTTATAGAGCTTCTTGCGCAACACCTTCCGGATCCCAGTAAAGCCCCATAAAGCTCTGTAGAGCTCTTTAATCTCCACAAAGACCTAGAAACTCGAAAAAGCCTCATGGAACCGACAAACACGAAGCAACAAACCCTAAACCCGAAACCCATAAAAGCCCGCAACTCTCATCCCCGACCATAAACCCGAAACTCTAAACCCTAACCCCCCTAAGCCCCAAACTCTAAACTCTAAACCCTAAACCCTAAACCCTAAACTCTAAACCCTAAACCCTAAACTCTAACCCTGAACCCTGAACCCTATACCCTAAACCCCACA